CCCCCCTCTCTCTCTCCTCTCTCTCTCTCTCCCCTCTCTCTCTCTCTCCCCCCTCTCTCTCTCTCTCCCCTCTCTCTCCCCTCTCTGCCTCTCACCCTGTCCTCACTGACTGCTAATACTGATGTCTCTCGTGTTTTGTAGAAGGTAATCAGCCCAATCTTTCAGGCACCAACCTCAAGCTCTTGGTGATCCCAGTCCTGGTGTTATTGATCGCTGCTGTAGTTGGATTCATCGTATGGTTCAAGAGGTAAGTGACCTGACAACAACCTCTGGTTTAGGAACCAGGGGGGCTACTCCCCATATAAAGTTCTCAGGTCTTCGACAAAACCCTAAACAACTGACCCAGTCACCATGCCACTAGGTCCTGCAAATTGTCATCACTTCACGCATCAGATCTGGCCATTGCTAGAAGGTAATTGCTGTAGTGTCTGGTTCCAAGGCATCTTGGTTTGGTGTGTTCCTGAAACTGGTTAATGGGAGGCAGCGGGGGGACAGGTCCTTTCATAATTCTTTTTAGCTGCTCTTATAAGCCATTTCGTGGTCCTCTGTTGGTTTTTGTATTTGTTCCATTCTGAGAGATCTTTATAGTCCTTTGCATTTATTAGCCCTTTTCAAAAAAAAACTTGCTGACCCTTTCTTCCCTGGATGTCCATGGCTGTTTTTATTGTGAGCTACAGCTTTTCCTTCTCATGGATACAAAATGCTTCTGAATGGCATTTAATGCTTTTTGAACACCATCCACTGTTCCTTGGTTACCTGTTACCTATTAGCAGAACTTCCAAGTTTATTGTGGATAGTCTTTGCCTCATCCCATTAAAGTCTGCCTTACTTAAATCCAAAATTGCAGTATCCAATCTTTTCTTGTCTCTTACAAACGATACATTAAACTTGATAATGTTATCATCACTATTTGACAAATGCTCACAAACAACTAGGTCACTAATTAAATCAGGCTCATTGCTCATTACTAGATTCAGTATCACTTGTCCCCTTGTTGTATCCAAGGCACATGCTGTAGGAAACAATCCTGGACACACACTAGAAATTCACAACCTTTCTGCAGGTGCCTGTCTGTCTCTTCCAGTCTATGTTAAGATTAAAATCCCCCATTAATATTACTCTGGGTGGTACGGTGGGTCAGTGGTTAGCACTGGTGTCCCACAGCGTCAGGGACCCAGGTTTGATTCCAGCCTCAGGTGACTATCTGTGTGGAGGTTGCACATTCTCTGCACAGGCTGGATGAGACAGCTTCTCCACTGCTTCACGACAACAGCAGTGTAACCACCACTCCCAATGAGTTCCAGGAACCTGTTCTTACACATGTAGCACCTCCTTCCACAGACCCAGTTTTACTTCTTGTTCCCATTTTGGTCCACATTTCAAAATAAATAAAAATAAAAAGAGCTAGTCTTGACAAGATCGAGAATAACATTTGACATAATCCAAATCCACCAAATTGATTGAAATTCTAAACGAGACAGCTTCAAGTAAGTCATTTAGTTTCTCCTCAGGTGATCAATCTGAGATGACTGTAGGCCCCTGGATGTGGATTGGTTAGTTGAATGCATGACCATTTGTTGATTAGCAAATTCCCAACTTCTCTCAGTCATTAGGTTCATTAGAATGTCCCTGGAAGGGAGGGATTGTCTTATGAGCAAAGACTAAGCAGGTTGGGACTCTACTCCCTGGAGTCTAGAAGAATGAAAGGTGATCTCATTGAAGCATATAGGATTCTTAAGGGGCTTTACAGGGTAAATGCTGAGAGGATGTTTCCCGTCACAGGAGACTGTAGGACCAGAGGAAGAAAGGGGTCCTAATTTAAGACCCATGAGCGGTCTGTTAACCTATTCCTTACAGATGGGCAGTTTGCTGCACGGATGATGGAGTTTAAAATCTCTTATTGCCTATTCCAGAAAAAACAGGAAACGCAAGAAATCTTGGATAAGTCGGATAAGACTGGGAGGGAACATTCCAGAAGCAAGGGACAGAGTGTCACTGGTGAAAGTTCTCCCTTCACCTCAATATTTGTCTTCCACACCACAATTGGCCGGTTTATCAGGCACAGCATCAGGAACACATGCTGTACAGGTACCAGGGTATATCAGTGTATACTGTACTGGGGTAGATCAGTGTGTACTGTCCCGGGGTAGATCAGT